ACGAAGAGTTATCTTTATATTATGGATGATTTACTCTAGATTTGACTTAAACATTGATTCAATAGAAGCTGATTTTGTTTTTACTTTTATTTTAGGGTATGTTATAGCAATTGCAAAAATCGAAAATGAAAATTTACACATATCTTTATATTTCAAAGTCTACTGAACATTTTGCATACTTTGGGGCGTCCATTAATCACGTGAGCTAGTTTTTAAGGATTTTTGGACCCCCCCTCCCCCTTGGTGATACGTGGTGATATTCAAAATTACCCCCCCTCCCCCACCAAACATCACGTGTATTTTTAGTTACGTGAAAAAACAAAATTTTTTGATTCTTTTTTTAAACATGTTTGATTTTTTTTTTTTAAAATAATTGATGAAATGTTTGTTAAGCTAGATCTAGCGGTTTCGGAGAAACAGAGGGAAAGTAAAAAAAGTTGATATTTGGCGGTCTAAAATGATCATTAGACATATTCTTATCAAAGGGCTAAATATTTTATAGTACTAATTTTGTTACATTTTTTTTTGTTCCATACCAAGATTTTTAACTTTTAAAGTTTACTTATACGGTTCAAGCTAATTTCAAAATTTTCCGAAAAAAATTCAAATTTTTCAAAAATATAGAAATTATTATACTTCAAATATGAATTTTAAATTTAGAATTCAGTTTGAAAATGTTTATATTTTAAATGCATTATTATTATTGTAAGAAATATATCCTCAAATGGTTTTATTCTGCATCTCATGCTAATGTAAACTTTCTCAAGTGTTTTGAGCGATAAGATCGTCCCTGTATATTTTGTAAAGGATAAAATATATAGTGATTATAATTATCTATTTGAAAATGTTTGTTATTAATCATTGATCAATATTTTTTGATTAATCGAATATTTAATTCTGGTAAAGAAAGGTCCAGCAACTTGCCTTAAGGCACGATGCCATACACCACTAGTATAAAAATTCAATGCTCTTTTACGATTATTTAAAAGTGACAAATTCATGCTTCTTTTCTAGAAGACTCCCTTAAGGCATGATGCCGCGCACTACTAGTTAATTTATCTTAATGATGGCTACATGTTCTTAGAGTCTGCCATCCCAACGTGTGCTCCGCGCGATAGTACGCTCCTTCGCTCCTACGCTCCGCAATCGGGCACGGATTTGCCGACTTTTCATTGACACTAAAGCGAAGCGTCGGCGTAATTACATTTTATGCGATACGACAGAGCGCGATCATGCAAAATAAAATACAATGACGTACAAGTTACGTACAGCTATTTCAGTTCTAGTCTCTCGTCGGCGCTATTTTCAATTCCTACACGAGACGTTTTGCGTTCATTCACTTGATGAGCGGGCGAAAAGTAGTGTTCCGTCAGCTGATGGCATGCAGTTGACATTGTTTCAATGAGGTTTGTGCTGAATACAACAAGTCATTGATCACATTCGTCGAGAATAACAACATAACTTGTGTCCGCTACAAATTATGGGGGATAAGTACACGTGTATCTTATGCGAGGATGTGAACGACTACAGAATTCTTCTCATATGTTCTAGTGCAATAATCTTGATAATCAATGTTATCTAATAAAATTTTTAGTTTTTTCTGATGTGAACATAATTTTCAATTATTTATCACTGTTGTTTCAATATATGTATTGATATGTAGGGAAAATATGGGCAAAATGGCTTATGATCAAAATGACACAGTGATGGCATTGTCTAAAACTTGGCTAACGTGACGAGAGCCATAATCACAATGTTTTATTTTCACAATAATTAAATAATAATTATAAAAATTCTATAAGCTATTGTGCAGATTATTAGGACTCCAGTAATAGTACTCGAGTTTCACATGAGATGGCATGATGGAGATTGCCGCAATAGGTTACTTCATTTTAATGCATCAGGTCGAAGGGATATTTCTTTTTCAATCTTCTAATATGTGATGCTTCTAATAGGGGAATTATGTGGGGTTATTGAATCACAATGTCGAATCTCATGTTGAGTATCCATTAAAACGTGTATCGCGCCTTCTAAAGTTTATTTTAATGGTGGTTTTAGCATGTTTTTGGGGATTTACTTATTGTTAGTTGCAATTATTTTTTTTAAAATCAATTACTTTGTACTGCTGCCCAGTGGTTTCTATTAATTTTATTGCTTTTCTCAAATGCTTGATGCAATTTTAATTATTTGATTATTTATTCATTGTTGTTTACTTTGGCCATTTGACATAAGTACTTATCCAATAGACAAAATAACTGTGCTATTTCGCCAGCACTGCTAGGTAGTTTGTTCGAGTCCAAGAAATAAGAAAATTGAAACCTTTTCAAGGTGATTGTTTTTTAACTTCTACACCAGCTACTTCTAAAAATATGTCAAAGGATCCACAGGTGAAAATAAGAAACTTGCTTTTATTAAAATTACCTCTTTCTCAGTTCTCTACCCGGATAATGTTGATTACTTTGTATGACTTGACTGGGCTCATGCATCATGTGATGATGTCGATATGATGTTTTATTTTTAAAATTCCATTTTAAAAACTATTATATTTGTGTCCTTACTTTATAAGTTATTTTGACCATACTATATGGACAAAGGGGTTTACGTAATTTGTTGTAATATTCTTGAATAAATATATTATTATAGCTCCAACAAGTCTATGTTACTGGTAAGCAGAGAACCTGAGATGAGTAAAAACGATTGAGACTGATTGTAATATATAATAAATAAATATCTTTAAAAGACATACAACCATGCCATTTTGACCGTACTTCCCTTATACTTAAACTCCAAACAATTTTGCAAGGAATTCTAAGGATAATCTATCAATTGTGCAAAATGCAATAGTGATGGACAAATAGTTCAATTTTATGTTAAAATGATGGTTAAAATAGTGAGCTACAAGTAATATTGAAAAATTTTCTGTATTAAATGTACTTATCTTTTCGCCTTTATATAATATTTGAAATTCTACAATAGTACAACTAATTTGAAACATTATAATCTAGCACAATATTGCATTCTGCTCTATATATTCCTATCAGTATCAGCCACTTCAATCGCTTATCGGTTGATAGCTCATTTATGAGGTTAATATAAATGCAAATTTCATTTTATACAAAAGCTATTAAACATGTCATAAGACTATTTTTAATAGAAAATATGAATTTATAACTCCTGATTACTGTAAACTTTTATTAATATACTCATTTGTATGAGTATTTATCTGATTATGAATAAAACAATTTATTTTTGTAACTGATTGATTATAATATAAAAATGTTATGCAAATTGCTAATTTTCATTCAAATTATTCGAATTTTTGCCCATGTGGTGCTTATTTTCGTGCTTATTGCTGCAATGTGTAGTACATGTTTAGTGAATGTATATGCAATATTATTAAAATCTACATAATTCTGTATGAAGATATATATAATTATGAGAAATTATGCAATAGTACACAGGTATTTGCAATAAATTATTATACCCGGATTCGCTAATTTGCATTTCGCATATATTACTTGTAGTAAATGTGTTTACGCGTGATATAGCTGACTTGAAATAAGTTATGAGATAAAATATTTACATCAGTTTAATAAGATACAGTTTTATCTATATTATTAAACGTAATGATATAAGCTATCAAACTTGTAATGTAATTACATCAGTTTAGTTATATTACATGGTTTTGCAATTTAAAAGAGAACAATCTTTTAAGTTGAATGACAAAATCAACCATATTCAAACAATAACAAGAAATTGTTTTTGAATTTGCAGAATATTCTAACTAACGTGTTCAAATAAGGGTGTGATCCAATTATTTTAATTTCAAATATTTGAGCAATTCAGTAATTTGATCTAATATATAAGTGTGTATAAGTAGAGGTACTTGATTTGTGGATTGGCCAGTAACTAAATAAAGTACTAATTATGAAACAATAAATTCAATATTCAGTTTTTTTCGATTTAGAAAAATACTTATATTGTAGTTATATATAGGCTCAACTTGAGTTTTTCGTAGTATGGTCTTTGCGAATGCATTTTATAAACGAAATTTCTTTTACTTCAGATTTAATTTTGACTTTTTTGTATCATAATTTTCTTTAAGGGGTTTGTTCGTTTTTTTTTACAAAAAATGCAAGGTATTTGTTTTTGTTTTTCTCGAAATGTATTTATCATAGAGACATGCGGTTTTTTTTAAACAAAAATTACAAAATCATAGAATATTACGAAATTTTCTTTTTTTTCACCGTCATTTTTTAACCAGGGAGCGCCAAAGTCGGCCTTGCAAAATCGATCTCTTTTGCGGTGCAACCGATAAACCTGTTGCGCATAGCCTGAAACAAAAAAAAAGAAACTACGTTGAAGAAGAAGTTTGAATCCAGTCCCCCTATCAAAATGAAAGAAAAAAAGCAAGAACGAAAAAAATGGCAGCTATTTAAAAAAAAGTGTTAAAATAGGCCTTTTTTGGGGCGAGAAGCTTTGC